TTGTCCCATTTTTGTACGATTTTTCTTATTGTTTTGTCATTCTTTTTCCCCCATTTTATTTTGATTCTTTTATTTTTAATATGTGTTTTGCGAGTTATTATTAGTCGAGTCATATATGTATTTTCCGGTAATTTGCTCCTATTATCTGTATTATCGTCGGTGTGTAGGTGAAGGAGTCAGGCGACGAATCTTTTAAATCATATTTGAGCCGGTGATTAATGGATGGATAGATAATTGTGTTGGTACGCAAGAAAAAAATCGAAACTAGCTTCGGAGTTATAGCAATAGGCGTACGAATTAAAGATGAAAAAGAGGTGCATGAAAATCTCATTTCCAGTGACCTTCACGAGCTCTTAACGTCGTGAGGATGATCACGCGCAGCTTCAGGAATTGGCGAAGATCACCCTCACGCCGCTGCAAACCCTCACGCCGCGGAGCTCACCTCTTCACGCCGCGAAGCTCTCTCCACGCCGTTAACCATCGCCTCTCCACGCCGCGAAGGTCGTCCCTCCACGCCGTTAACCATCACCTCTCCACGCCGCGAAGGTCGTCCATCCACGCCGTTAACCATCGCCTCTTCACGCCGGAGCCGACATCTTCACGCCGCGGCCAGCTGTTCCTCACGACGTGCCACCAATCTGCGTGCGATTCCACGTAAGAAGTGTCGAGCAGAAAATAAGGAAACATGGTGGACGGTTAGCTGGATGTCTCTTTTTCCTTTTGGTCTTGTCTTCTGGTGTATTTAATAAAGGGTTATTCACAAGAGTTACGGAGGGAGTTTTTCCATTTTCTGCGGTGTTCTCTTCTCATTCTCCCGCTGCAGCTCACCTCTCTCTCATCTTTCTCTCATTCCTTTCTATTTCGTGTTTCTCTCGGCAGTAAACTCATCTTTCCATTTTCTTCATTCTCAAGAATTTGTATTGTGGATTGATTTGGAAGCTTCATTTTATTTTCGGTGTGTTTGTGTGCTTTTCCGACGACATTTTCCGGAAATCGTTTGGATTGTAAGTTTCTATTTTTCTTTGTTCTTTAGCTTGAATTTGCATTAGGAAAAATAAGTACCTTGTTAGAGGACTTATTATTCCGGTTGTGTGCTGAGTTTGCGATTTTGATTGTAGACGTAAACTTTGATTTTCGACTATTGAAATATTTTGTTTGTGTTGTTTGTTTGAATTTGTCGAATATTGTGTTGTGATTGTTGAATGCGTTGTTAGGAAAATCATGATTTAAGTTCGAGGATTGATTATTCTGTAGTAGCGTATTTAATATCATATCGTCGTTATTTTCGATTTTGTTCATTAAGTTACAAGATTATTCAGTCGAGATTGTCGTAGGAAGATTGAGACTTAGATTTAAGTTCGATTATTCCGTTGAGACAGGTTGATTGCAATTTGAGGTCCGTAGATGGATTTCGATTCTATGGTTGTGTATCGTTTTCGTAATCTTTAGTTATTCGGTTCGAAAGCTAAAGGGTCTAAATCGCTATATTTCAATTTGTTTCGTATTATTTATTTCGTTAGTTAATCAACAATTAAACCAATCAAATCATCGATTAGAATGTTTAGGAATTATTTTTCACTTGTGTGTTTGGACAATTAAATTAGTAAACGAAGCTCCGAACAGTCTTCCTTTGAGAACGACCCGAGTCGGGTAACTCGGTTACAATATACCCACAAAAATACTGCAAACAGTATATTTTATCAGTTTTACATATATAATATATTAAATTAATCATCTCTTGATGTGGTTCGATTTGACATCTATATTATATGTATAAAATAAATGAATTATATTTATCTTCACAATAATAATAAAATTATTTATTAATATTAATTAGAAAAATATAATTATTTATCAATTAATATTTATATTTAAAGTAGTTATATGGTATAATAATATACATTTTTTGTAAAAAAGTATTTAAATTTTAAAATTTAAGAATAAGTTTTTTAGCAACTACCTGTGTAATACACAAGTATTATACTAATATATTACTATTACAAAATAATCTCCATGTAATTTCAAATATATCCTACTTAAGCACCAAACCAAACCAGACCCGACCCTTTATATTCACATATATGTTTTGTCTAATTATATCTCGTCTAATGTAAATTTTGTCTAGACTCCAATTGATATGGCCTGGCCCGGTCTGCCCGGTCTCGTCCCAGCCCGACCCGAATATTTTGATTTATTAACTTTTATTTTCAATATTGTACATTATTTTTCAGTAACTAGGGTGTGATTGTTTATAAATTTAACTAATTTTTATTTGGTTTGATTTTAACTATAATTAATTTTGAAAAAAAAGTGGTATGGTTAGTTGTTAGTGGATATATTAAATTAATATTTAAATAAAATAATTAAAATTGATTTGATGTAAAATAGGAGAAAAATGATTGGAAGTGATAGTTAATTAAAATTATGTGAGTGGATGAATAGTGAATTAAAGTTAATGTGATGTGTAAAAATGATTGGTTGTATTATTTAATTATATTGATAAAATTGGAGATAGTGGAGTTAAGTTAAAATTGAGTTAAAATTGAATTTTGAAAGATTTTTTTTACTGTTAAAACAATATCCAATTGCCACTTAGGGTTTTTCTTGGTGCAATTAAATTCCCCCAGTCCATTACGGGCTAGTAGTAGGTTGACCGGTTAGTTACTAGCTCATATATAATGTATGATTTTAATTTTTATATTTATTGTTTATCACTCGAAAAAAAAAAATACTTTGGCTTTTGTTGCTAACTATCTAATACTCAGCTATTTATTTTTATTTTTTACAAAAAATATGATATTGGAATTTTCATAGAATTTCTCTGTTTTATATGTAATGATGAATCATTAATATAATTTTTACTTTTATTTTATTTATTGTTGTAATTTAATTAAGATTATGTGAACACTAATGAAATTAAATGTTGTGTTAAGTTCAAATTTATAACTTTACAATTTTTTATAAATTGTTCGTTAATAGCCTGTTTAGCTCGAAGCGTGCTAGGGTTATGTTAAATTCATGTACTGTTAACCTGTTTAAATGAATGGACTATGATGTTCAATTATCATGATGTATCTAGTCATTCCAATCAGGGGCAGGCCCATATTGGGTAGGGATGTTCACGGTGGGGTTTTAATAAAAAAAAAACTGTCAATTCTGACCGCGGATCGGTTAAATGATCAGTTAAAAAAATCTTAAAAAATTCGGTGGTTAATTTTTTAAAAAAATCCAGAATAACCGGTCCGGTTAACGGATTACCTGGGGCAAACCGCCGGTTTAACCGAACTGGACCGATAAATATTAAAAAATTATAACAAATATATATATACATTCAGTCATTCACTATAGCCAACAAATACAGTACATTCACTATGAATGCTTTGCTCTTATTATTTCAGGTGTATAAACTGACTGAAAAATGAATGCTTGCTTGAGTTCAGTTTGCATAATTTAATCTTCATCATTTTTGTATTTTTATGTTTATGGGACGAAATGTGTATTTTTTATGCTTATGGAACGAATTGTATATATTTTTTTTTATTATTGTTGTTTTTCTTATTTTTTAGGTTCAAATAATCTCTTTTGGGCCCAAAATTGAAAAATAAAAATTAAGCCCAAAATGAGAAAAATAAAAATTGAAGGCCCAAAACAAAGATTTTGGATTTAACCGGTTAACCGCCAAATGCGGTCCGGATTGTGGTCAATTAAAAAATAAAACCGGTCCGGTTATTGACAAGAAAAAAAAAAATTAACCGTTAAATCCGATTTGGTCATGGTTTGGGCTAAAACAGGACTAATCCGAACCGTGAACACTCCTAATATTGGGTCCAGTGGGGGCCAAGGGCCTCACTCAAATTTTCGGTCAAAAATTTATATTGGATGTAAAATTCGATAATTTTAATGCATTAGTCCTAAGCAAACAAAACTATACAAGTCCTAAGCAAACAAAACTATACAAGGAAAATGAATATAAATAAAAGGTGAGGATATCTCTTTACTTGTTTCCAACAATCTAGGTGCATTTGGTTTTACTTTTTTATTCACTTCATAATTACTTATATCTCTTTATATATTTATTTGTTTATGAGTTAACAACCAAAACTTTATCAAACTACAAGTTCATTGGTCAATACTTGAATTGATACTTAATACATTAATATTTATAAATATATATTACAAAAAATAATCAACTTTTTTTATATAAAACTATTCTTAATTAAACATATAGATAATTTAAAATACTCAAATTTCTAACCTAATCAATATAATAATTATTTTATAGATATTCAATATTTACATAATTATTTTTATTTATTTGAAAAATATAATTAAATTATCAAAACATATTTCTTAAAAGGAAAAAAATCGGATCCATCCAATTGGCCAGTTTTGACCTTTTTTTACCGGTTCAACCAAAAAATGATCAAGTGATTGATTTCAATTCCAACCAGTTCGAACCAATCTCTTTTTGTAAAAATAGTAACAACATTATGATTCTAATTTATTATTATCTCTATAATATATTCTAAGGTTCATGCTATATCACACTTAAACTCGACAATACTTTGTCTGTAAAAGATTTTGACTATAAGAACTTAATATTATATTTATGAGTTTGAAAATCATAATCTATTTTTTTATAAATCAATTATTAAAAATGAAAATTACGTTTTCTTTTTAGATCATTATTGTGTCATCTCTCGAAAATAATTTTAGGCCCACACTCAACAAAATTTCTAGATCCGCCCTTGAGACCAACTGTGTGGAATATTGTCTCGTATAAAAATTCTTTTGGAACAAAAAAAAAAATCATAAAATTTGTATCCATACGCATGGGACAATCAACCTTAATTCCACTCAATTCCAACAACCCTTAAACCAGGTAAATTAACTAAATTAAATATTCAAATATGAACCTTCATGTTAAACTCACTTTATTCTCAAGATTATCTTATACTATATTATATGGTTAAAGTTACCATTAATTAGTGTAGATATCAATGGGCGGAACAAGAAAAATCTACATAGTGGTCGTCGGGTTAGTCAAAGTTAGCTGGCTTGTCTCACCACACGAAAGACCCGATTTGATTTGGTCCAACCCGGCTGGCTATCATACAGCATCATCATGTATGACCCATTCACATACATCATAGTATCATACATACATACATTAATACCTCGTTTTCCTTATTTAATATATTTTATTTCACGGGCCCCTTCCTAAATAAAAACTATTTTTCAATTTAATTTCCCTTGCCTATATATTAGTACAATGCTTGCCTCCAATTCTTTCCATCTTTGAAAATCGTTCTAACTGCTCTCATCGGTATAATATATAAC